GAAAACGCTGCGGCCGGTCATTTCAGCTGTTCCGGCGGCCATTTTGGATCCGCCGGACAGCTGATCGCAGTCATTTTCGCGCCCTCGTTCAGCGAGGGGAGGGCGCGAAAATGGCTGCCGGCCATCGGAGAAACATCGCTGAACGGTGAGTACAGCAGCTGACTGGAATGCATTAAACACTGTTTAATGTGTTCCAATGAGCTTTTCTGCCCCGCTCAGCGATGTTTCACACAGCGAGGGTTAATCCGGGACGGATTAACCTCGCTGTGCGAGGCACCACTGTATTAATAAAAAAACTCAAAGATGTTATGTGCCATCAAGTCACTTCTGATGTGTGGTGACCATGTTAGCTAATGACCTCATGATATTACTCATAAACATGTACAAACCCAGCCATAAGCTCAGAAATAGGTTGCCAAAAAAAGACATCATAGAAATCTTCCCCTTAGTAATAAGTATTGATAATGGATCACTTTCCAGACATTGTAACAAGTAACCGGGGTGGGGGGGGGAGATATTTGAAAGGATGCTAGTTCTGGTCAGGGATGACCACATGACAAGCATAATCTTTTCATTCCAAGGTGCACTACATACTTATATTCTGATAAGGGCTGATTTAGAAGAATCAGGCATTACAAAGTTAACAGAAATGCATGCAGTGCTATTCCAAACCTGCAATGTTTCTCGACGCTCCAAAAGGGGCAAATCATTCACTTCTGCAATGAAATCTTTCATGGCAGAGTATAACTTCTGCTGCACTTCATTTCTGCAAAGTATCAAGCTCTGTACTTTCTCCTACATAAAGAGAAAAGACAGGTGAGGAAGACACATCTGAAACTGTGTCACACAAGACAAGACACTGCTGGCATCCTTCTTCCCCCAGATAGCTCTGCAGAGGAAAATAAGGAACGACAGTCCAAAAAACTAATTTCCTCTTCCACAGAATCTTGCACCCAAGTAGAAGAGTGATTCTGTACATACCATGCTGGATTTATTCATATAGTATGGGCATCACGCACAAAAATGACAAAAATTTACAGAGAACAATAAATCAAAATGAGAAAGACAGAGACATCTATTTATGATTTTGATTGGGATGGGGGCTTAGGGAGGCTCTGTGACTTCTCTTCATATAACAATTACTGCTTCTGGAACTCTATGGTAGGGCACAGGAGTCCTCAAAAATGGCCTTGAGGGCCACATGCATTCTGTGGCCTATACTTTGTGCACCCTGATGCATATGCATATGCATATTTCTAAAACAGAATTTTTAGAAAGTCGAGAGCCTGTTTGTTGGGAGCAGCATAACTACTGAATCCATGTTCAATTAACTGGGTAGTATGTCTGTCAAGTGCAGAGAAGTTTAAACAAAAGACTTGATAATAAGGCCTAAGCTGCATGTAGGTTTACCCACAAAGAGACTGCATTACAATCACTTCACTACAACCATCCAGCACAGCCAGAAATGCCGTTACCCTACACCTTCTTACACTACAAGATAGCACAGATCAGATTGCTGGAGAAAGGAATATGAGCCAAGATCTCCACCTATACAGAACTAAGAACAAAGGAAACACCACTATCATGGGCCAAAGCATGCCCTGGAAATACTTAACCAACACATTAAAGTTGTTAGAGGCTCCCAAGTCACTGATATTTTTTTTCTGTAGTGAGAAATGTGCAAACAGCCAAGATCCAAATATGTACTTTGGTATCCAGTACTAGCAAAACCCAAGCTTTCCTCCTCCCATTTCCCACTGCCCTCTGTGGCATCCAAAACCTACTCAAGGTATCAAAACAATTTTTTTAAAAAAAAATTCTGGGGCAGAGGGCTTGAAAAGGCACAAGCTATTTTATGTACCCCATCTTTGCACAAGCGTATTTCCTCTTGTGAAGAGTTGTAGTCTATCCACGTCTTTTCCAGCGTTTCCAGAAAGAAAGGAGCAGCAAGACACCCCGCAGTCACCACTTTCACAGCTTCTGAAAGGTCTTCTCCAAAACGAGCAGACATACTGTCTTGCCTGGGTTGGAGGGGGACACCCAGTGCCACATAAACAGTTTTATTTTCAGTTTCTAAGTTTATGGTGAATCAAAAACAATGCAACTATATCAGGAAAAGCACTATGGAAAGTATGGCAAAACATAAAAATTTCAGCAGGGATTCAATAATTGCGAGCTAGAAATGACTGGATGTTACACCTTTGGCTTTCTGCATGCATAACAAAGCAACAGGATTTCAGCCACTATTGTATCAAAAGCTACTGGATCAAGTTGGTGGTGGCTTTTAACTTCCCATTTCATATGGTTCTGATTAACAAAAGGAAACTATGGCCAAGGATATGCTAGAAGCCACTATTATTACTGAGTTACATGGAATCCACTTCCAGTCAAGACTCCTAAATCTGTAACAGTGTCATCAACATTATTCTATACATCTTCTCTGCAGTACGGCAAGAGAGTACCTATCCATAGTGAAGCAAATACCAGGGCTTAACTAGTATACATCTTCTCTGCAGTACGGCGAGAGAGTACCTATCCATACTGAAGCAAATACCAGGGCTTAACTAGTATACAAGACATGACCAACAATTAGAAAATGACCGCATGTTTTTGCTCCAAGACAGGAGTCCATCAGAGCTGTGTCCCCTGGCAATCAGTTTGTCAATGAAGTCTGTGTTTACCACTCAATAACCAATCATAAAACAAAGTAAACTAGTGTACAGCTAAGGAAACTTCACACAAGGACAAATATCTGCCCTTCAGCATTTAAGAAAATCATGTTTCTAAAGACATGCTACAATCCAGTCTGACTCTCAGTTTTGTGGGAAGTGGAGGATTTCTGTGCTACAAGACAGATGGGCAGTTAAGAGTTCCCCAACATGGTCCCTTCTTGCAGCTTGTCTATTGTGTTGCATCTCCATTCACTGATGAATCCTCACAACTTAATTTCACCTCCTCCCATAAAACTCCTCTCTCCATTAGTCATGTAGCCACACATCATATCCCACACTTTCCCTCACCCAAATACAGTGGTGCTCCACATGACAACGATAATCTGTCCTGGGAAAATCGCTGTTTAGCGAAATCGTTGTCATGCGAAAACCCTTTCCCCATTGGAATGCATTGAAACCTGGTTTAATGCGTTCCAATGGGGAAAATACCTCGTCGTCCAGCAAAGATCGCCTATAGGGAAGCCATTTTGGAGCACCGATCAGCTGTAAAAATGGCTGCCCTGCGAAGCATGGGTCTGGAAACCATAGGGCAGCCATTTTGCGAAGCCAAAAAAATCGTCGTCTTGCAAACAAACGGTTCGCGAAGCACGGACCTAATCGTCGTTAAGTGAAAATCGCCCATAGGAATGACTGTTTTGTGAATCGCTATAGCAATCGCAAAAAGTCATCGTCATGCGGATTCATCGTTTAGCGGGGTCGTCATTTAGTGATGTACCACTGTATACGGTTCTAATTTCTGGTTTCTGCTTTCCACACCATCATCTCTCTGAGACTAATACCTCCTCACCACCCTCCAGATGTCTTTCACCTTGGAAAGTTAACTCACAGACAAATCAATATAAAAGATTAAAGCTACCCAAAACCAGCCAGTGGTAGAATAACATCCACATCCACTCCATTTTTATAAGTACCTATCTGTCTCCCTTAAGCACTCACCTGTTCTTTCTGGTGCCCTGCCCAGCACTCCTCCCCTCCCCTTGGAGGTGGGGAAAACAGCCAATGAACGCCCTGCCCAGCACTCCACCCTTGGAGGTGGGGAAAACAGCCAATGAAAATAAGGTTCCATAGATATGTTTTTCTTCCTCCTTAACAGTGGGCGTAGCAGTCTTACCTTAAACTCATTAAGGACTCTTCTCTCATTCAACCCATTCTTTCCAACAAGCAAATAGCCAATTTACTCATATATGGACATTATTTACAAACAAAAATAGCACAGCTCCTTTGGCACAGGAGCATTAGGAATGACTAAATCTGTCAGAAAGATGTCTCTTTCCACCTTCTAATGTCTACCAAGCAGGCGGGCTGAGGATTCTTGCTCAATGTCCAGCCTTGGCAACTTAAAGGCTAACTAAATAAAACTGTGGCCTACTTTTAACTCCATTTGGCAAGCTGTATCATCCCTCCCTCCCCACTATGCTCCCACATAAGCTAGTTAGTATACAACATTAATTCTTCAAAGAAATTCATTTTAGACTATGTATAGTCAATTGACTAAATTTCAAAAGACAGCTGTGTTCTTAGCCAAGCCTGCTCATCAAAACATACATAGCATCTTTTGTTCTACTGCACTAAATGATCTAAGTTGTTCATAGCTTTGAGGACCACGTTCAAAAAACAAAGTAAAAATTCAACAAGGAACCCAAAATCAAGGTTTGCATCCATTCTTAACCTTATTTAATGTGAATCACACCACTAAAAAATTCCTGCTGGAGAGCAAGTTCCATTCAGAAATACATGATATACCTTGTTTCTTTAATTTTCTCAAACTTGGTGGCCAAGCTTCTCATGGTGGTTCCTATATATCCTGGAAGAACACTTTCTAGGTACATCAGGCTTTCCTTTTTAGCTTTTATCTCTTCCTGCAGGAGATAACACGGGAGTTTTAGCCTGTTAATACTGCATGGGTTTTAGAAAAATTAAAGAGACCCTAAAAACATTATCTTTAAAATAGCCTAAAGCAAACTGTGGAGCCCGAGACCCTGGTCATGAAACTCTAGTGGGAGTGCCGTCTCTCACCAAGACATCTAAGGGAACTCAGACTACTCCGCCCTCTTCACCACCTAAGGTGGTACACCGAGGAATAGATACCCGGGACCTAGAGATGGGGATAAAAGGGTTAACCATCTCTACCCAGATTGACCTGGAAATGGCGGGAAAAGAGGAGAGAGGGCAGTCTGTGGTAGAGGCAGGAGCAGGGGATATAAAGGTGGATCGGAACAACATACCGGGGGGTTGGGAAACGATATGGATGCAAGACCCCTGGACTGGTTACTGGGAGCAGGTCAGAGTCCCTAAGCAAGAAGCTGAAAACAGGAGGAAGAAAGGGCTCCCTCAACGGCCATCTTATTGGGGTGAGTCCGAGACACACGACTGCCGTCGTTGCTTAAGGGAGGAGAAGGAGGCGGTCGAAAGGGAGAGAGAGGCCTGCAAAGCATGGCATTTGGAGGAACTGAAGAAGGTGGGCTGTTACCTGGACCGTGGGATGTTCAGCAGGGAGAGGGATCTCCGCTTTGGGGATGGTCGGGAGATGGGGAAACCCTCCCATTATTGACTCTGGAGAAGAATGAAGAGTTAATCCAAGAACCGGGACGGGTCTTGGCAGGACCTTGGGAACTTAAGTCTTTGAACCCCTTTGAACCTGACACGTGGTTGCCCTTGCGGGAGCCAATACTCCCGCAAGAGAAGTTTTTACCAAGCCTGCATGAAGTTAATGTTTTGTTACCTGAATTAATAAAGACAGTTCTTTTGAAGCAAAAACAACTACTGGCTTATTTGGGGAAGGGAAGGTCCCACCATTCGAACCCTCACACAAACATGAAACTAAGAAAATATAATGGTAGCATATTTGTCTTTGAGTGTATGTTATAAACAGTTATGTCAATGTACCGTATATTATGTTTATATAAGTACACTTTCTTCCAGGAACTCAGAACTAAAAAGACACAGGATTGCCAGGCAACCAGACAAAGAACCGCTTAGAAGTATGGTTTTCGAGACAAAGTAGAGGTGGATAAAGGAAATGGTTTCTATCAGTTGTTCTCAACACTTTTGCACTTCAGAGTAGTACAGTTTATTCACACACACTTTGCTTCATAGGTTTGTAAGGAACAATAAAAGATAATAGTTTCATTAAAATGTATATTCAGTGGTGCCCCGCTTGATGATTACCTCGCTAGATGAGGAAATCGCTTAACGATGAGTATTTTGCGATCGCTATAGCGAAAAAATAGTGATCGCAAAACAATGTTTTAATATGAAAAAATCGCTTGACGATGATCAGTTCCCTGCTTTGGAACCAATTTTTCACTTTATGACAGTGGTCCCTAACCTTGGGCCCCCAGATGTTCTTAGACTAAAGCTCCCAGAAGCCTTCACCACCTCTGCTGGCCAGGATTTCTGGGAGTTGAAGTCCAAGAACATCTGGAGGCCCAAGGTTGGAGACCACTGCTTTACGATGATCAGAAAACAGCTGATTATCAGGTTTCAAAATGGCTGCCCGCTGTGCAAAATGGCTCTCATGGGAGTGCCGTCCCTCCCGCCAACTGCTGAGAAAGAAAGTCAGACCCTGCCAGTTCCCCCACCCAGGAAGACAAGACCACCTGAACCAGACCCGGGGAGCCTAGTGAAAGATTTAAATGAACTAACAGTTAAAGAGACTGAGACTTTCTTGGTGGTCGCGGGAGAAGGGCGAGAAGTGGTGGAGGCAGGGTTGGTAGATATAAAAGGAGGGGAAGGAGAGTTACCAGGGGGGTGGGAATGCATATGGGTTGAAGACTATTGGATGGGGAAGATGGAGAAACTAAGAATGCCAAAAGAAG